GTTTGTAACCGCTGAAGAGATATTCGTCCGTGCTTCTACTCCAATTTGTGGTTTAGCGTCTAGAGGTTTTTCCAATAAATGGATGGACCTATAGTTTGTACTAATCTGCCTCTGAACGGCTGCTTTGTTTTTTATGAAGTTTAAAATGTTTTTAAAAAATAATTTTAATTTTTTTAAAATGGTTTTTTTTTTAAATATTTTAACTATTTTTTTAAATTTTTATAAAGTTATTTTTTATTAAATATATATTTAAATGTTTTTGCTTTTTATTTATTTTTTATTTTCTATTATTTCCCCAATTACTCATTACTAATAAACATTTTTTCATATAAGTAAATATATATAATTCAAAAGCAAAATAGTACTTTAAAATGAAACGTGAGGGAAGTGAATTAAAATAAATTTAAAAAAAAATTAAAATAGCATTTTCAAAATAAAATTTTAATTTACAGATATTACAGTTTATAAGCTACAAAATACAGACCGCTAGAAAGATTTTTCATAATAAGCATTAAAAATTTAAAACTTATTAATTTATTAAAAAAAATCAAATAAAATAAAATCAAACAAATCGAAATAGAAGACTTTAATGTAATAAAAAGTAGGGAAATTTTAAAATCAAAAACAATTCTGTATTTAAAAAATAAATATGATATATTCCACAACACTCCAATACTAAATACAACGGTAATAAAACTACTACAGTTGATGAATAATAAAAAAAAATAATAATTTAAATCGAAATAGCGAACGATATCAAAAAGAGACAAAAGAAAAAATACAGCATTTTATTTCAACGCACAGAATACTTTAGCAACGTACAAAAAATTTTTCTATGTATTATACACGTCGTTAATAATATAAGAATTAAACAAAAAATTAATAACAAAAACTTAATAACTGATATTATATATATACGTGTATATTAAACTATTGAAAATTGTGCGCAAATCAAATGCTTTAGGTAAAATAAATTAGTTCAAAATATAGTTCAAATAAATAAGCGCATTTAGCGTGACACAATATTTCCAACGAGCAAAACTGTTGCAAAAAAATCGTAGTAAAAACAGAAAAAAATTAGTAAAATTGACATAAACACATTTAAAAAATTCAGCGAGCAATTTACTATTTTCTGTTTTTTGAAGTCTTACTCTACAGCATTGTACGCCAAATCAATCGATAAACATACACATGTACAATACATATATATTGAGAAATGTTGAAACTAAAAAAACACATTTTTACTCGCCTGCATACTAACAAATAAATACGTACATACATACATGCTCACTGGAGTACTCGTACGTTCATACATCCATATTAATGTGCTCGTCAAATAGTTATAATAAAAAATACATACATACAAAATAATACATAGACCTACTCTACATATATAATAGTAAATAATAATGGTATAGGAAATACATAAAATACACACAATAGTTCCGGAATTCAATCCTTGCCAAGCATTCGTACTTACATACCAACATGCATACATACATATGTTGGTTGTATTTACATACAAACAATCATAGTATGTACTTACATATACATATACTTAGCCATCATCGTGTCGTACTTGTCGTTGTTTAACAAACATTCCTCATTTCCTTTACAATTTTTCATTTTGCCAATAACATAAGAAGCTTAAAGGAGCTTAAAATAAGGTACATACAGTTAGAGTAAAGTACTGTATAATACTTGTATGTATAGGTGTTTACATCGAAGTCCGTGTCGCTTGTTGCTTTAAAGACCACGCATACTCGTATACATTTTTTTTGCGAAATTTCGTCGTTCAATAATTTATTTTATTTATTTATTTTTTTTTTTTTTGAATTTAATGAAATAGTTTTTAAGCTATAATAAATGTATGTAGCTTTGGAAAATTTTTAATGTAAGCCATTTTGTGGGTAGACTAAGAATTTAATGGCATATAAATGCGCATATTGTAGAAATAATTTATTGAAAAATAAAATTTGAGAAGTGAAAATATTGCGAACATTGTTTGCTTGATGTAGTTTTCATTTTGTTAAGAGCAAAGAAATTAAAATAAAAAAAATATAGATTAAAAAAGAATAATAAAAAAGTAAAAATTGAAAATATGCAAAATAAAAATAAAAAAATATGAATTAAAAAAAATAAAAAATAAGATTAAAACAATTTTTAAAAATAAAACGAGTAAAAGAAATTGAAATAAAAAATTTAGAATACAGAAGTAATGGCTTGTGCACAAATTTCGTAGTAGAAATCTATTTTTTTGGGATAAAAGTTTTGGCGCAGATTTTTCAAATTTATGTAAAAAATTGTAGTTTTTTATACCTTAGCTTTTAAATTAGAAATTATGAATCGGCGTTTTTTACATAAATAAATTTAGTAAAAGCGTGTAAGGCGTTATTTAACCTAAGTTTATTTCATAGCAGCGTGTGATACTTAAAAATTTTTATTTTCTCATCAATTGTCAAATTAACTCCCATTCGGTTTCTCTCGTATATATATATACTCAAAACAGTGTATAACCCAAACTACGATATACTTATACTATTTAATTTTTCATATCCTATTGAGCTCTTTTTACGGTGTTTTTTTTAGCATCAAACATAATTTTTATACAAAATTCGTCGCAAACTTTTCGATCCATATTTTTGGCGGTGGAAAATCGCCAAAAAAAGTAAACAGCTCTTGACCCTTAAGCCTTTCTCAAGCCCTTTACACATAAATATAAATAAAAATATATATATATGCAGCTCAAGCAACTTAAAAATTCACCTCCTTTGTAGAACGGTCCTCGTTTTCGTGATGCTCATCCCTTTTGTACAACGCTGCGTATACGTAACTTACTCGTAAGTACTTCTGACAGGCATCCTTCTTGTATTTTAGCTTATAGATTTTAATGTTGAAATATTTGAGCATTCGCCGGCGGCTATTTATTTTAGCCTATTTTCGTGTGAGAAAATTACTTTGTATTTAAAATAAACCGTCGAAAATTAATTAAAATCTGATAAACTACATTCTACTGAATCTTTGAAAGTTTATAATCTATAATTCAAATGGATTTTGTAGAAAAAAATATCGAACTGAAAATGGATTTTTTTTTAAATAAAACTATACCAAAAAGTACGGAAAAGTAAGAAAATTATACTTTTTAATAATGAAAATATGATTTTTTTTAAATTAAAAGTAATAATATTTATTAGTATTTCTGTTATTTTTATATTAAAAAAAAATATTTCCTATAGAAATATACGAAATTTGATGTCTCTCTTATTTTTTTAACTTAATTTATTTAAATAAGCACTTCATTATGACATAACCTCAAAAAATAGCGACTTCAACTGAATATTCATATATTTCTACGCAGCACTGCCTAGAATTGAGTTCACGCTTAAAGCTATTGCCTTTATATGAAACTTTTCACTTATTTACTATATATACTCTCCAGGACTTAAATTGCATTTATAACTTTACCAATCAATGCTATTTATTTGGTACTAAGTTTCAAAAACTCTATTTTCGTCAAAGAAAGCAAAAACTTCATTTTCAGGTTTACTTATATACTGACAATATATTTAACTTATTTTTAACTTATAATAAGAAACTATTACTATTTCGTATATTTGCTATCACTCGTTTGTATTCACATACATATGTTTGTACATATGCTACATATATACATGTATGCATATTTATAGTATAGTGCAATGTATTTATTTTTTTCTCTTTACCATTTTCTTTACTACTTTTTTATTTATTTAAAACTATTTTCTTCTTTAACTACTTTCTTTTGCTTTAGTTTTTCTGCTGCAATATATGTTTGGATGTATGTATTTGTTGAATATATCTCTGTATATACATAGTAATGTGTTTAGCTCTTCATTTGATTCGAATCTATTTATTACAACTTTGACGTTGGCGTTGGCTTGTGCTATGTAATCCTTATCAAGGCAACTATTATTTAAGAAAAAAAACTACATGCATACATTTGTATAAACATACACACATACACATACTTTCACATACGTAGATAAGTGTATAAATTTATATTAAAAAGAGAAATGAATTTTCAAATTTATTTATTTAAATGTCTTCTTCTTGCATTTCTTTTTTCTTTTTTCATTTATTTCTTTTGCTACTACAAATATTTTCGTATTTCAACTTGTTGCTGTCTATGCTGTCTGTACAACGACAACAACAACTACAATAAAAAATCTGACACAACAATATCCGCAAACTAAATGAATACATGCAACCCAAAAACCACAAAACTCATGAAAACTGTGCTCCAACCAACACCATACATGGTGCACGCCAACTTTAACGAATTACCAAAAATAAAAAAAACCAAATTTTTTTTAAAAAATGAAACAAATCAAAAATACCAACAAACAATCAATCAATTGAAACTGAACCGAAATGAAATGAAATCGCTAAATAAAAACAATACGTACACACAAAATATAAACACCCACACACACATAAACATATGCATAAACATCTTTGACCACTATTACTGTAAAACACAACGATAAAAAACAAAAACCTTTAAATAAATATACACATCCCGTTCTGACTGCTGGCTCGCCGCATATATAACTATTTGCATCCATCGTTTATATGTATGTATGTATGTATATAACTGTGTACGCTTAACTTTTGTGAAACCAATACCCATTTGAAATGCCAAAATATACATATACATATATACTGACAAAATTGCTACCAACTCATTTACCTCACAAAAACAAAACAAAATAAAAATTTATGAAAAATTGAAAACTCATACAAATCAATGCCAAAACAAATGCAAACAAATTAAAACAAAAACCATTCTTAACTAAACAAATTTAACACACCGCACACGTATTACAACTATAAACACGTCTAAAACCACAACAAACAAATCGACAACGTTTACAAACACACATACATACGTATGTATATTTTTTTTTTGTATGGCTGTAACGAATGTGTCACGCACTGTGTTGTTGTACTGTTGTGTTTAGAGCAACCTTGGGCCAAGGCATACGTTCCGGTTGCGGCATAGTACCGATTACGGGACCGGGCGGCTTACAACACTATGCCACAACTGATCGCCGCTCCAATGGCGGAATGCGGGTAAGTCAATTGTTAACAATTACTCACTTTATAACTTACACAACTATATTGCTAATTGCTATATACATCAACACTCATATACTCATATGATTTTCATGTTAAATTCCTTAACTATTTAAATAAATATTTTTTTTTCTAATATTATTTGATTTTAACATTAAAATTTTGATTAATAAGAATTCGTTAGAAATATCTATTTATAAACTCTCACTAATCAACTGTTTAACTTGCAACTCTGTCTATACTGCTGTGCTGCTTTTGTTGTCCTTAACATTCTCTGCACCAAAAACAATTACACTCTCTGCTACCTTAGAAGGTTATTGGTAGCGAATTTAATACGAGTACAAAAACATAAAATGCTATAAAGGACCGTTTATAAGCGTATTTATATGCAAATATTATATAATATAAAACACTACATATTATAATTATTACACACACATGCGTATAAAACTTAAACACATATAATAAAAAACAATAATGACTTTGCAATTTCCATCTAGTTGATTCAATGTTAAAATAACATTTGTGCCGCCCGCTCTATGGTCTGCTTGCTGCTGCACTCGTTAGCTCTTTACTCTACTCCTCGTATGAGTAACTGTACAGTTGTTATTAGCTGTATTGTGTAAATTTCTCTCAAATTGCTTTGATTTTCATGCACTGCTCACCTATATAAGTATTTTTAAACGTATGATGAAATGTGTTTATTTTTTGTGTGTACATTTTAAGAACTTTATTTATTCCACAAAAAATTTCCACATACAAAGAAATATGTTTATTTAAGAAAAATCGATTTGATAACTAGTCGCATTATTTGTTGTCATTTAGTTGTTGCACGTTATACGCAATAGAAAGAAAAAGTAGTATGAAGAAAACAAATACAATACACACACATTCTTTCAAAGAAATACTCAACTATTTCTTGCCTCGTCAACTTGTTTCTTCTTGTTAAAAAACAAAAAAAAAATTGTAACATTTTACTGTCGACTTGTCAATCAGTTCATATAAAGATTGATTACTGATTTGAAAAAGTTTGAGCCGAGGCTAATAAGAATGAAAAATGCACTACAATTTACGAGTTCCAAAAAAAAATCTAAGATAAAAAAAATAGCTAACGAGTTTTCTTTATTTTCTTTTTTAGTTTGTGGTGCACAAGTTCAAATCTTATATGTGTCGGATTAAAATTTAAGAGTTTCTTGAAAATTTTGGTCTATGCTAAGTTTACTATGAAAATTTCTGTAATTACTTATGTTACGGGACTAGAGGCATACTTTCTCTCACAAGCTTCTTGGCAGCGCAGTTTACTGGTTATCTTATATGTTCGGGCCAAGTTGCATTTTTTCGGTAGTCTATCAAGCTGCCATGTGCTGCCACATTTTAAGGTCACAGCCATCAGCCAATCGATAGTTAGCGTGTTTACAATAAGTTTTGTTTCGAAGACGCCGTTGGCTCGATAGTCTCATACTCAAGTTGAGTGAAAGTTTCGGGGAGTAGATCCTGTATCATATCTTTCATTGAGCTTTAAGCTTTCTGAAAAAATGACTATTGCTCCCTGAAATAGGACTTTTGAATTTTACCTTTCAAGGATCGTGGTGAAAATAAACGGCTCTCAAAATAAAATTGGGGTTTTTTGTAGTACACCTATTCTGGTATTTGTAGAAAAAAAAGTTTTCGGAATTTTCTTATACTTCGCTGTCTCCGAAGCTGTGCAGCATTTCGGCTCGCTTAATATTTGTCCAAGAGAAGTAAGAAAACTTTCAAGAGTTTCTTATGCCTTCGTGGGAATCGATGGAAGGGTTCTCGCTACGTGCGCGGTTGCAGACCTCAGAACTCTGTCCACTGCATGCCGCCAAACAATGACACCGTAAAAAGGATAAATTTGACTATGGTTGTATACAATCTTAGATCTCTCCCGTTGTTAATAGCCTTTTTGTAGTTGCGAAGTGCAGTTATAACTTTCCCAGTTACCTCAATAGAAAAAGTGCCTTTTATTTTAGGAGGCCTTTAGGAAAGTGGTAAATATCTCCTGGTTTGTATCTGATTTGATGCCCGATCCTATATCTTTACACCATTTATCTTTTACGTTTAAACCATTTTATAGTGAATCGCTTAGGGTCTGGGTCTCTCCATCTATGTGAGCGCAATGTCGTCCGTGTACGCTATCACACCTCAGCAAGTGATCCTTAGTTTGCTGAGTAGCGTATTTCTTATTTCTTATTTGCTTCACGAAAATGGCGACCAAGCTCAGGATATTTATTTTAATTAACTCTACGAATTCTAAACAAACTCCGCTGTGATAATAGACATTGAGCCTAGCTTGTCTTAGTTATTTTCGGTCACGGCTCTCTTGCGCTCTTCTATTGAGACTGTTTGATATACATTAAGACCAGAAAGTTTCTGGAAATGGTTTTTTACGATATTCGCGGTTTTGGCTCATCGCGAACTCGTTCCAACGTTTGACGTCCAATGGAGAGTAATATTTGAGCGTTTTGAGGCGTCTGCACGCAAATTTTCGTAAACTTTCTTGACGATAATGCGTAAAAAAATTCGCAGGGGGGACTAAAGTCGACTGATTTCAACAGCTGCTGCAAATAAACAGATCTACATATCGCGCTCATAACATTTTCAACATCATTTTTTTTTATTATTACCAGCGGCTTCTCACCTTCCGCCAATCCGCATGACGTATAGACTCTTTTTCTTTGTTTACATTAACTCATAGTCACTATGAGTCCAGCTACAGGAAAAATCAAAGCATAAACAATGGAAGTGTTTATGAAATTCTTATAAAATAAGAGTTAACAATTTGATATCAGAAAGAAGAAGAAGACTGTAAATTGAGCCTGTCACGATTGGCAAGAGTGATGAGGCTAAAAGCTGCAGGCGAGCTAAAAAGAAAAGAAAATAACAATGATACCCTGGTCAACAAAACAGTGAACCTGCTCCAGATTATGGTTATCTATAGTGTAAGCAGGAGAAGGTCATAATTTAATATTTTTTATATTAAGTCACCGATTAATTTTACAACACCAAACCATGCTGTTTATTCTTCATGTGTCGAAGTGTTTGATTTTTAAAATTTTATATCACCCGCATATATTAAATAAATAATTTGTATATTTTATATCAGAACACATAGCATTTATGAAAAGTGAGAATAGAACAGGGCCTAAGGGTACCGCTGAAGCAAATATACTAGAATATGAAAGGAGATTATTTATTTTAATTTTTGGTAGTTTTTGAAACACATAAACTTTTGAAATAAACCATATAGCTGACATTAAAACTAAATAATTAAGTGAAATAATAAGTAATTTTTTTTTGACTTTCAAAAAAATTTTAAATAAAAAATAGATTTTTTCTCGTCATCATCATGAAATAAAATTGCGACTTAACAAATTGCCGTATTAAAATATCCAAGCTTCGTTTATAAATAAATGAATGACAAATAGTTAAATACTTTCATTAATAAAAATGCAAATGTAAATCAGGATTGTAAATGCAAAAAAGTGTTATAGATTGAAATAAGTTTGTAATTATATAAATCGCTTTCGACTTCGGTGTTCATATTTATAAATAGATATACAATGGCGGCACCATGTTTATTCTTGCACAAAAGTAAGCACAACCATTTAACATTTAAACTAAAATAAAGTGGAATTTAAATTAAGATTAAAATTCAAAAAAATTCGTGAAATTAAAACGGAAACAGAAAATATCAATATTATAAATAATTAACGTTTTAAGAATAAAATTATTTTCAATGGAAATACTTAAAATATATGGAAAATTAGTAAATCATCTATAAATATTTTGAAGAGAAAACATCTGCAGATCAATAAGGCCATTAAATTAAAAAAGAAAAGATCAAACAAACTAACAAAAAATAGTGTTTACTATAAAGGCAAGTATAATAATTATTATAAAGAAAATGAAAAGGAACAAAATATAATTTAAAATCTAAACAAAAAATAAAAACCTTAAATTATAAATAAATTCATATAATAAACTTATAAATAAGGGTTAAAAAATTGAAAATAATTTCAAATAAAAAAAATTAATATTTAATTATATGTAGTAGTGAAATATATAAGTGAAATAAATTAATGAGGAAGATGCGCACAATCTTGGCAATTATATCTTTATTTAAAATGACATTTAAGCAAATTTTTCACATTATTTAAAAATAAATTAAAACGCCTAGCATGCGTAAGAGGGCAACTTAAGCGTGATGACGAATAATGTATAAGTGAGCAAAAAAAAAAAGGTTTACAGCAATACCACGGCATATACCGTGAATGGAAAACAAACTTACCAACACAGTAAATTTAATTCCGAAAATAAATATGTCACTTGGTGTACACTTCACCGTTGTTGCACCGAATAATTTTTAAATAATTTTTACATAATTAAAAATATTATACACAGCCAGTTTTAACACACTGTTCGCATTCACAAGCGCAACTGTTCAACAGTAGTTCATTAACAGCATGTAATTGGCTGAATTTACTGCGTATGCGATTGCACAGCTGATTGCTGTGTATGCATGTATGTATGTATGTATGGCTAGCAAATAACAATGCTATTAAATTAACAGTTAATTGTTGGCAATTGAATGAAATCAAACGTTAAATGACAACACAAAGCGCACAGCAAGTTGAGGCAAGGACAAAATACAGGAGAATGTAAATATTTACATATACATATGCATATCATTGGAGCCATTACTGTGGCGGCGCAGATGCTATATAACTATGTATGTATATGTATATGTAGTGCACATATATTCTTAAACTATTATAATAAGCGCAACATAAATGGCTGATTAATTAATAGAGTTTAAATTCGTTGAAAAATTGGTGAGCCACAAAACCGTCTTTAGGCCGACCGGGCGTATACGCAATTTTCTTTTGAGGGAGAATAATAACTGACTAATGTGTTCTTTTTTCTATAAGTTCATTTAATTTCTTTAAAAAAACTTTATTGGCTATTAAAAAAAACATTTTCCCCTCTTTTTGGTAAAATAATATTTTTAAATGTTTTAAATATTTTCGAAATATTAAGCGATTTAATCAGCTTCTATGGTTAAGGGCCAAAATTTGCCAGACTTAAATAATTATTTGTGTAATTTACGCAATTATATTAATTATGCACTCTTTTTAAGTTTTTTTTTTCGTTTTCCTTTCCAATTTCTCTGTGTGCATAAATTAACATGCACGTAATGCGATGCTGCGCCAACATTGAAATTATGCAAAATGTATTGGTGTACATTTAATGAGTTTTTAATTAATTACCTTCACGCAATTATTATTTTTTTATTTTCCTTATTATTTTTTTTTTGCGTCGTTCATAATATTATTTAAAATGTGTATTGTACAATACATATGTATGTATTCTTGTTTCTCTTCTTCTTCTTCTTCTTCCACTATTTTACGCAACAGATATCGGCATGGAAAGGATCACAGGTGAGTTGAGTTGAGGGGCCGTGTTTGCATTTTAAAGCGGAATTCAAGAAGTAGATGATTTTAAGTTTTTAATTTCTATTAAATTTCTGTTTTTTTTTTGTTTTTGTTAGCTATTTTAAAAATCTTTTCTCTGTGTTTGGTTATTTTATCTAATATCTTTCCACTTTAGAGAGTATTTGTTTTTTTTTTCAATATAATAATTTTTATAATATAATTTCAACTTTCACCATTTCAACGGCGCTCTAATAAAAATCTTGGGGAAGCTTTTGAACAAATTTTTCAAAAAATTTCTAAAAACAAATATAGGTTAGATTGAAGAAGCTGTTGTCAAATTCAGAGCATCTTCGCATAACAAAACTTATCTTCCCGTTCATCATGCCTTGCTACCCAAATATACCCAAACGAAAGATTTTCTGTCCTGTCTAGTCCAATACAGTTTGTCCAGACCGAGCCCAGAGTTGTTAGAGTTGTTGTCTGAGTTACTGAATATAGAAGTGGTACTTCTAAGTAGAAATGTTGTAGTTCCTGCTGTTTGTTGGTGAAGTATTATTTCTATAATTTTTGACAGCTTAATAGTTTATATTCTATTAGACGACTCTGCCCTTGTGATTGTACCAATAAAGTCTACGTTGATTTTCTTAACAAATGCCCGACTCAACCGAACAATGTATTATAGAGAACTTCGCTCGATGAGATAAATTTTCTTGTTTTCTGCCATCAATATTTACTCATTTCCGTTGGGTTGAAGTTTGGGTTGTCACGGTATCTCCCGTGACTGTATACCGAGCACTCGCAAAGATGTCATGAGTCTCGTGCTCCTTTATGCGTGTTCTGCACTGAGTTGATTCATCCCTGCTTTGTCTTTGAATATCATCTCTTAGGGAAAAGTTAGATAGCATCTACTTGGTAGAAGATTCCTGTTTCTCGGCCGTATTTTATGGCTGTTTTATAACTTAACTCCGCTTTCTTTACCGGTAGCTGATAGAGTGCAGTGAGAAGTTTCTTTTCTTTCTAAATTAAACGCTTTTTTCAGCTCAATTTCCTGTCCAGAATAACTTTCAAAAACTCTGATTTAGTTGCCAGAGTTAGAAAATCGACATGTAGTACTCGGTGTGCATTATGGGTCACGGGCTCGACTCGGAAGTTAATTCGTTCGATCTTTGGCGCCCCACAATATGGCACTGCTTGCCATTCAGCCAAGGACATAATAAATTTATTGAAGGAGGGGATCATGTGGTGGTTCGACCAAAAATCAAAATTATCGTGTGCGCTCCTCCGCAGTTAATGTCAAGCCGATTGTATATCTGACATGAAATAAGAGCTTCTAATAAAAATCCATCGGCCGCTCTGAGGCGGATAAGAGTAAACTGTAGCTCACTCCTTTTGCTAGAAAAACATGAAGAGCGAATTATATGTGTATACATACATATTTAATTTTCGACAATATCGGTAGATTCGTATTCATTTAACGATTTGAACATTTTTTTATTTTTTGTTTGATTTCTCTCAATATAAAAAAATTGTGGAACTCTCGTACATATGTATGTACATCAGATTAGTTTTAAAATAATTTTTTGTTTAACTTAATGTCACGCTGATTAAATTCGCACATATATGCATAATTATATACTCCGCATGATTTATTATAATCACATTTTTTAGTTTTTTCATTTATTTTCTAATTTATAATTATATAATTTGCAAATCCGCATGCCAATTTGTATAAATATCCCTCCTTCATTAATTATTCCCGTTTTAGTATTTAATTTTTTCAATTCATTGCCTTTTTGTGCCTCATATCATCTACATATCCGATTAAGAGTTTTCAATTAAAAAGCCCGTAGTTTAATTATCTTTTCACTTAACTTCTTAACTTCACTTTTCGCTCATAAAGCCGTTCATTTTTCTTACTTTTTTTTAACTTAATTCAACTTCATGCATGCGTTACTCACCACTTTTACTGTAAAATGATTTTTGTGAATCTCACTTTTTTCTCACACTTCTTACACTTAATTTCGCCCGCAGAGTTCTCTCTCTAAAGCCTTCCGTTTCAATGCAAAATCATCACGCAGTGGAAGCTCCATTGGGGATCGTTCATCCTTCGGCAACTCCACCTCTCCCACACCATCGTATAGTAGCTCCGAAGGTGGTGGAGGAATTTACGCCACTATAGGCGGTCACCCACCACACTCAGCACCCTACTACACAACCACCAACAGCTCACATCATTTCCCCCCACCGACAACGGCACCACCACCACCGCCACCCTCTGCATCAGCGCCCGGTCTTGGAGGACACTTAGGTGGTGGTGGTAGCAGCAGCAGCAACAGTAACATCTTCAACTATGCACCGCCGGGACATCGTGTGAGTGCGCCACCCGTGAGTAGTAGTAGCACTGCCGAATCAATGACTGATCCGAATGCATTGTATGAGCAACATCGACGTGTGAAAAGTATCAGTGATATTGGTATGTCGGCTGGTAATGTAGGCGCCGGTACGGTGTGTGCGGCGACAACGTCTGGCACGTCAACGGCAGTGGCGACGACAGCATCGTTAAGGAGTATCGGTAGTATGGGCAGTAGTAGTGGTGGTGGTGGTAGTGGTGGTTGTGGAGGCGGTAGCGCTGGTGGTTGTGCTTCAGGCTCTTCCGGTTCACCAGTATGAGAATCAGTTATCATGTAAGGCGCGTCGAATGCGTACTTGCATGCAAATGTAAACGTACATATGTACGTACGTACATAAGTCTACTAGTTAAATAAAATATTTTTACATATATACATATTATATATTGAAGAAAATGAAATGCAAATTGGGATTAAAATGCAAATTGTAGATGACCAGTATGGAAGAAATTATTATAAATAAGTGATTACATATACATGCATAGATTTCTTTGTGAAATATTTGTGGATTTTCGAAAAAAAACATATGCATTGTTTATAGCTCAAGTATATAAATTGTGTATGTGTAAGTATTCATGAATACATTTGTATTATGGTCAGCAAATAAAGTGTATCATACAAAAACAAATATTTTCATTCCTTTGTATATACGAATACATATGCTTGTGCATATGTATTTGAAATTATTGTGGTTCTTAAAATCTATAAAATATGCAATGCATGAATTACAAAATAAATTAAAAGCAGTAAGGGAAATATTACTATTGATTATTAATTATTATTATTTATTTTTTATTTTATGTTTTGTCAGGTACATATTATATTATCCCAGCAGGAAATCTTATGGGTTGGAGGATAGACATTGATTTATTTTATAGTAAAAAGAATTAGTTCTACTTCTGAGCATTCAAATACTGCTGCAATGACCCTAATACGTGCAGGTAAACTATACAAAAAATTTAAAATATAAAATTCTCCTGATGTGGACAGTTGCTCAGGAGATACTGGCAGAACTATAAGTGTAAACAACGCACGGGCTTTAGCTGTGTTAATCTAAACCTAAGCAGGCCAAAATTAGACTCCATGCTATAAGAGCTGTCTACTTAATTGTTTGTAAAACATCCTCATAGTCTGCTCTCCCTACGATTCAGCTCTAATATGACGAGCTTTTATTTTCTAGTTTCTAAAGGGCTCAACAAACAATAGTGTTTAATTTAATTCTGTCGAGAATTCCGCAAGTAACCGATTATCAATGAGAAATAATTTTTAATAGCCCACGACAGCTCAGATTAATAACCCTATTCGCAATTATTCAGTAGTAGAGGTCAACCATATTACATGGATAGTGCCACCGATCATAAGCTCTTTGGTAGATTGCGGAGGGATCAAGTGTACTTCCATCAACTCCAACAATATTATTATTTCTTAAAGGTCCCATTAATCTGCGGATGGGCTTACAATTACGTCTCGTAGGGATGCGTTACCTAAGGGATCCTCGCAGCCTTGAGCCTATATCACCCGGCAGGAAACCGGAGTGACTGCACGCTGGGTTATCTGTGACCCCCTGGACAATTGAAACTCATTTCAGCCTATTAGATCACACCTACTCACCAAATGCAGGTTGGCCAATTATAAAGTAGCTGAATACTTTTTCGAAATTAATGCTTTCGGGGTCTTGGCTTCACTTTGTTTCATGAGTGGCTCCAAACGTTTTGTCAAAATGTAGTTTATTACTTGTTTAGTCAGGATGTGGTAAATGTGGTATCTCTAAAAACGATTAATAAAATTGTCTATTGAGACCTAGCACTGGGATAAATTATTCTTCTTATTCTTCTTCTTTTCCTCTTATTTATCTTCGTTTTCTTCTTCTTCTTCGTTTTATGCTTCTTAGTTTTCTTCTTCATCGTTTTCTTCTTATTATTCTTCTTCTTCTTAGTTTTCTTCTTCTTTATCTTTTTTTCCTCTTCGTTTTCTCATTCTTCTTCGTTCTCTACTTCTTTATCTTCGTTTTCTTCTTCTTTTTCGTTTTCTTCTTCTTTGTGGATTTGGATACTGTTTATCCGATTACAGCCGAGTTGACAACAGCGCCAGGTCTTTCCAGCGAGGTGCAGGTGTATCTTTTTCTTTTTTCCTGTCTCCAACGCCGAGCACTACATCGAAAACTTTCCAAGTTGGGGTGTACTTATCTATTCGGACCACATGACCTAGCAAGCGTGACCGCTATCTTTTTGTTCGCTAAACTTTGTCAATGTCGCTGGTTATCCCGTCAGCTCATCGTTTCCTCCGCTACGGTATACGCCGTTCCCAACGCCGTAGAGAACCATAAATCTTACCCAATACATTTTTCTCGAAAACTCATAACACCGACTCACACAGAATATTCCAATTGGAAAGCCCGGCACAGATTTTGTAGTAAATCTGAAAATTTTCAATTACTTCGGTGTATCTATATTAAATACTCCGATAAATAGTGTAACAAAGCATATACCTTCAATTATATATTTCTACCAAATAATTTTCGATTTGCTCTATATTTCCAATCCTCTAGGATACCATTCATCTGCTTATCCCTTTACTCCATTCCATTATGCAGCTTCAGTTGTTATTCAGTTCATTGGCTCAGAGCTTTAGCAGCTGCAATATATTTGTTTATAAATTTCAATATTTATTATTTATTTTTGCGGCTTTATTCACCACAGAAATAGCATTCAATTGGAAAAATTAATTTGGATTTTTGTCTTGCATTAGGCAAATATGTTAAGGTTATACAGATACTTATGTATGTATGCACATATGTAGCTATTCAACAATTCAATATTATCCAATATTCAATATGCGCCATTAGTAATTTACATTTAGTCAAAGCCACAGCTTCATTATGGGTAATATGTATATTTATATATGTAAGTACTCGATATACACTTGCGTACATACATACATATTTAGTTATTGTTGTCCACTTGTATGTGCATATGTATGTAATTATTTCAAGTGCTTATTACGGCCGCACTTGTAATTGCAACCAATTTTACAAATGCATGGATATACAATGTCATAATACATATGTATATACTTACATATGCTCATACATTTGGCTAAATACACCTGCCTTGATGGAAAATTGTATACTTTTCACTAAACGAGTCTTTTCTAAAACATCTGTTATTACTTTCAATACAATGCAGGCGAAACTCTTCAATTAATACCACAATTTCCGCTGCCTGGATGGGAAAAACTTAAATAACTAAAGTTAAAAAAGAAAAATAAAATAAAGTAAATTATAAAAAATAAAATCAAATAAATTATATCAAAACAAAAAAAAAATAAAATATATTAAAAAAAATAATATAAAATAAAATAACATAAAATTAAATTAAAACAAATAATATGAAATAAAAAAATAACAAATAAATGTAAATTGAGTTAAATTAAACAAGATTAAATTAAATAAAATAACAAAACAGGATTAAATTGAGCATAATAGAAGAAAATTAAATAAAATAGTATAATGAAATAAGTAAAAACAAAATAAAATAAAATAAAGTAAAATAAAATTAAATTGAATTAAATTTAATAAAATAATGTGAAAATATAAAATGAAAAAAAATAAAATGAAATAAAACATAAATATTTTTATTTTGAAGAAATAAAATAAAATGAAATAACATAAAGAAAATAAATAGAATAAAATAAAACAATAAAATAAATAAAACAAAAGTTTAAAAATTTAATTAAATAAAAATAATTTAATTTAATAAAATTAAATGAAATAAAATAAAATAAAGGTAAAAAAATACATAAAATGAAATAAAATAAAATAAATTAAATTAAAATAAAATGAAATAAAGGAAAAGGGCTAAATTTAAACAAAACAAAGTAAATTGGAACAAAAATAATATACAATAAAATAGCATACAATATAAAATAAAAACATAAAATAAAATGAAGTAAAATTTGGTGCAATAAAATAAATTTAAGTTAAATTAAACTAACTTAAAGGTAAAATATAAAATAATATAATGTAAATTAAATTTTGATAAAATAAAATTAAAAAAGTAAAATAATATAATGGAAATTAAATTTTAATAAAATAAAATTAAAAAAGTAACATAAAATAAAACAAAATAAATAAAGGAAAAAGACTAAGTTTAAATAAATTAGAAAAATGATAAAATGCAATAAAATATAATGAAATAAAATTATATGAAACCAAGGAAACAAAGGATATTAAACTTAATTTAAGCAAAATAAAATAAATTGGAACAAAAATTAAATAGAATAAAGTAAGATTTAATTTGAAATAAAATTGAATCAATTAAATTAAGCATCGTAAAGAAATAAATTAATACAATTTGAAGTAATACAATATAATATAAAAAATATAATAAATATAATATTATTTAATATAGTAAATAAAAGTCAGCTGTCTTGGACATATCGTTTATTGTATTACATGGTTTTTTGAGATTTCGTACCCATAAACTCTAAACTCCCATCTAGCCGGTGCCGAAATAATGATGAGAAAAGTATCAAAATACATCTGTAAACCAAGGACCTAATGAGAGACTAGTTTTTCGTCCAAGCAAACGGACATATCAACAGACGGTTCCTGCTTTTACTTTCTGGTACTTGCATACTCCGGACGAAAGTTAATATACCATTTCGTGTTTCGTCGTAATTAATTTAAAATAATAATTAAATTAAATAAAAATTAAATTATAACAAGATAATATAAAGCAAACTAAAATAAACAAACAAAAAAATTAAAAATAAATGAATTTAATTACCTTTTCCGACTAAAATCACCACCGCAGAAATGAAAGTAAATTTAAAAGTTTAAATTATAGAAATCAAACCGAACAACCTTAAACTATTTACTTAAATATTTTTGTGAATCCCTGAGCCCACCTCTTAACAGAAAGTCTTTTTCAATCAACTTCAGATATGGAAATAAAATTTGACTTGACATGTTTGTAAATATATAATATAATATGTATTATATGTCATACTAACGAAACTGATTAAATTTTCTATTATATAATAGGCATAGATGTGAAATTCAAAGAAAAATCAATAAAAAATAAAAATAATAAATACAAAATTAAAAATTCGTTTACGCATAAAAAACAACTGTTTAAAAATAGCATGCAAAAAACGTTGAATATGTAAGTTTAAAGGGAAATGAATTAATAAAATTGGAAGTGAATTTACATATTAGCAACTGCATACATATATATATTTACATAGATATGCGCATGAAACACAATTACAATGCGATTAAAATCAAATTAAAAACATTCGAATTGACGAAAATCACCGAAAATTTGCAAGCACAAAATTTTTGCATCAAAAAAAAAAAAATCATAAAAATAATAAATAATTTACAAAAACCCATCAAAACACATGTTGTCAGCCAATTAATGCAATTAACGGTTTAAGATGACAAATGGTAAATGAAAAATGTTTAATGGCTTTTGGCAACATATACACACATACATATGTATGCAATTAGTAGCTACACAGCCATGTCACATATGCATTCGTATGTACATCTGTATATACATACATACATAGGTAGCCGAATCAAATCAAATGCAGCTCATTAGCATAATTAAGTATGAATAAATAAATGAAAATTACAAGTTTAATGAAATAAATAATAAGAACAGAAAATAAATATTAATAATATGTGAAACAATAAATATGTATATGTGTAAAAAGAAGAAAAAAAAATAAATCATTAAATAATTATTACGAAATAAAGAATAAAAAACACATAAATAACCAAAACGGCAACACACTAACCACACACTCACACACCCCTCATGCTTGTATGTAAATTGGGTGTTAATCAAATCACACACCGCGCAAGTAAGAAGACTTTTTGTAGTTAAATCGAATTAAATTTGTTAAACTCAAAAAGCATAAATACTCATACACAACCACGTACATTAAACTAATAATATAAATAATTATTTAATTAAATACTTTTTACAATCAAAATCATTTTATTTAACTTGAAGTTTTATACCTTCAGTTGCGTTTCGGTTGAGTTAAATTAAATAACAATATTTTTTTTTTATTAAATTAAAAATAACTTTATAGCATAAAAACGACTATTTCGTAATTATTTTTAAAATAAAAATACTATGTAAAAATATGTGTGAGCAACTATTAAACAAATTAAGTAAATATAAATTTATTAATAAATATTATTAATTTACTATTAATATTAAAAAAAATGATTTATATATATTTGTGTATGTAATTGTATGCATTGAAACGAGCTAAACAAAAAATAATTGAAGTTTAATAAACTAAGAAATAAAATTCAAACACAATTTATTGATTAAAATGAGTTACATATAAAGATTTTATTCGATTTTTTAATTATTGATTGCAAAATTGTTCTTCTGTTCTTCAAACGCGAGTTTAGTAATATGCAATTATTAACGGGCGCTCTAACAGGGACTGACACAAGAGCTCTATAAACCCGCATTAATTTTCTTGACATGAAGCTGTACAGCAGACTTGAGGCTGCGCTGCAACTGGCGGCAATGGTAAAATACTCTCTTATTTCTTTCGTCGATTCTGGCATTCCACATGCAGTCAGCAATCGGCCTTTCTCGTTATTTGACGTTCGCTGGTTAAAGCTATTTTTAAAAATAATTTTTTTTTGTTTTTTACACGAAACGAGATGGTGTCGTTAATGTTAAATCGTTAACAGAAAATGTTAAATGTTAAAATTGAATTTTAACAGAAAATGTTAAATATTAAAACTGAAGTTTAACAGAAAATGTTAAATGCTAAAATTGAAGTCTAACAGAAAATGTTAAATGTTAAAATCGAATTGTGCAGTTAATAGCATAACAAGCAGACATTTTAAAATTAACATTAACATTGAGTTTTGTGCGATTTCAACATTAACAATTCCATTTCGTTTCAGTAAAATTCACTGAAACGAAACAAAATCATTTCGTTAAGTTTATATTTAATTTTAACAAAACGAAACGGCATTGTTTCGTTAGCTGAGCACCACTGGCTTGAATTCAACTCGGAATAAGAGGAATCGAAATTTAAGACACGCCCAAATATTATCCCTTGCACAACTTTCAGAAGAGCTGGACTATATATACAATTTGACAATTTGTTTTCTATAAGAACTTCAAACGGGAACGATTGGGAAAACACAAACGTGCTGGTCTAGTTTAGTATGCTATAGATTCCACTCACCGATGAGTGTGAGAGTACGAAGCTACTGTACCGTTTTCTAAGCAAGAACTTATTACAATTAAAGCTGCTCAAATCTACGAACACAAGACAATTCCGACAGCTAAACTGCTTTTTTCATTAGCGTTATCACCGCTTACGCGATTACAAACGAATCAACTATAACACGCCATTCGGTTCTTCTATGCGGCGCCAGTTGGAAATATCAATTGAAACCAGTTCGCTCTCCACCTCAATATCACCAATGTAATTGATTCGGCTATAATCGTGTAAGTGTTGTCTACGCCAGTAAAGTAGTAGAAGAAATTGGGGTCTAAATCAATCATACAAAATTTGCAAATATTTATATATATTTTTTTATAACTTTTTTATAATAAATTTTTTATACATTCGTTTTATAAACATATTTCAATACTATCAGTAATGAAAAAAAATCACTTCGCATCCGCCATTCTTAGCCACACTTTTTACCGCCACCGCCAGTGCTACGCTTGCCATAACCACCACCACCACCTTTTTTAGTTCCAGAGACCAGTTGCATTGGTCCACAGCTCCAGCACAACAACAACAGCACGGGCAACAACAGCAACGAAAAACGCATTTCGATCGTTAAATTTAAATGTATTTAAATAAAATAATTTCAATACAGCCACGAAGCAAGAGTCATCAGTTAGTAAATGCTTACCGATTGACGTTGCCATTTTTATAGGCTTTTTCCGGATTGTCGATTTGAAATCGCTATTGCAGTTAGGTGTTGGCATTTTTTGTACAATTGAATATTTAATTTGTCACGCCTCTGCAGAATACAGAGAAATTTTACTTATAAAACAGATCGAATATTTTCAAATTGATAAAAATAATTAATTTTTACTGGCACGCGAAAGAATTGGCACATTTGGGGTTTACCCATGGGTTTTTCATATTTTCAAAAATGATTCATTGAATTCATATTAATCGTACTCGTATAAAGAATTCCATTGAACTAAATAATTCGTTCATTCATGAGTTGTTTATTACAATTATTGTGTAATTAATTTCGTATTCCGAGATAGCCGAGTGTTTATCAGTACGTACTGTCATGAGGAAAATCAGGTTTCGAGTTCTAAACTGACTGGCATTCAAAAATTTCTTGAAATTTAATTAAATAAAAAATTGGGGTAATTTTTCTAATTGCCGTGCAAGGGCTGCTTTTGCATCCAGAAAAAGCAGAAAAAGTCACAGTACGGTACGATTTATGGGCTTCTTCAATGTCACACAGCGCGCGTTACAAGGGACTTATTGAGAGGCGAGTTCGGTGAACATTTTATTTCACGTTCGGGACCGGTCACTTGGCCGCTGAGATCGTGCGGTTTATCGCCTTTAGACTATTTTTTGTGGGGCTATGTTAAATCTAATGTCTATACAGACAAGCCCGCTTCAATCGACGTATTGGAGGACAATAATCTTCAGAACCTCAATCAAACGTGTTCACTTTTGTGCTTTTAGAGAAGGTCCGCATAATCGCCCAACTACTTAAGCGATTGGTAGAATTTTAAGAAATTTTAAGAGACTGGATCGGTTTTAGCTCTTGTTAGGTCTGTACAGGACAAGCAGTGGACGGAAATTTTTCAAAAAAAAAAAAAAAAAAAAAAAACCTTCAGTTACTAAGCACATATCTCCCTCGGCGAATATGTAAATAAGGAAGATTGTTGGAAATGGCACAACTTTTTTTAGCGCAGTTACGGGAAAGACGCTGTTTTTGTGGTTTTAAGCTCTTGAAAAACATTATTCGTCGAGTTAAGAAAATTACCCCAGGCAGATTGAGTTTATAATAATAAAAAAAAGCAATTTCTTCAAAATGGGTATAATTTGCTCATTTCGCAACACCGGGAACCCCACAGTCGGAGTCTCGTGGCATTCTCAATATCGCAAATTAACATCAACGACTTGATTCGACCTATCGGTAAGTGGACCTGAGACCGATCTCTTCGAAATAATCGAGTTTACATGAAGCTTGATACACAGATAACTCTTTGCCTAAATTAACATGAGGGAAAAACTTTTTCTTACGGAGAAGTGGCACTGGAGGGACCTATTAGAACTATATTAATATGGGAAATGGGCCTGGCGTCAATTCGATAGCTCGGCTTTGCTCTTTTGTGGCTCTTTATCAAGCTCAATGTGATGAGAACTTTTTTTTCTGGAAGTAAACCATACACCGATCTTTTCTGAGCTATCATAATTATATTTCAATAGCACTTTGCTTCTTTCATTTTCTTCATATGTATTCATAGAAGAAACAATTTAAAAACCTAATAAAAATCTTAACAGAACTATCTTGGAACTCCTTGAGGATGAAGTCACGGCAATCTCTAGTTGTCCGGAGGCGTTGGACGTTAGTAACAGCTGATGAGTTCGCATTAGATGTTTTTGAAAGGAAAAAATTTGCGAAATATTTGTAAGCCAAGTGACGAATCAAATCCCAGAGTTTAGGGGGGCTAAGACATGTCGTCCGAATAGATGGAAATACTAGAACATTTAGAGTTTTCAATGCAGTCAGTACCCGCTTTTGGAGGAAGAGGGAGCAGAGAGAGATGGCAAAGTGGGGCAAAGAACGACTGCTTATATTTATAAAAGAACACTAATCACATTTTAATAAATAAAACTTATTGTACTTTCAAAAAACAAATTGTTTATTCAAGATTAGACAAAATTTTAGTTTTTTTTGGTTAGTAATTCAATATTAAATTTCAAAATAAATATTTTTTTTTCCATTTATCAATACAAATTTAAAAACAATTAAGAATTTCACTCAAACAAAAACAATTTCAACATATTGCAATTTCTCTTCACCATAACATTGTACAATAATTTTACGCCGATCCTTTTTCATCGGTGTTGAACATTTCATAGGTTTGGGCGTATAACGCTCCCTACGATCCCAATACTCTGCACTAACTGCCAACTCTTCCTCATCCTCCAGTCCCGATTCCTCTGGCAGCTAGCGTCGATCACCGGCGGCATCATTATTATCGGTAGTTGGCGGACGACGCGAGGTGGTGGCTGGTCGTCCACGCGGTTCAGGATAAGGCTTTGCATTGGTTATGGCAGCCATATTACCGATCAGGACAAGCAAACCAAAGACGAAGAACAATGATAACCACTTCATTGCTGACGAACGATGTGAGGCTGGAAATAAGTAACTGTGTTTTTTTTCGCACTGCAAAGTTAATAGTTTTGCAACTCTGTTCTGACTAACAACGTGCTGGGCACATTTGAAGCTTTTTATACTTGACTTCAGTTCGGAAGCGTGCAGTGCGCAGGTAACAACTATTGTTCCAACTATTAGGCAAATATCACAAACATAAATTGCCCGCTGATAAGATCTACGTTACGCTGAGAGCTCATCTTTGTTGTAAATATTACAACTTTTTTAAACTTTTGTTTAAATTACAAATCGGAAGAAATGTCAAATGCACTTAGATATCAAATTTGAGTGTGAGTCGGCTTTGTTTATGTTCTAAAGATCTTTAAGATCGATTAGCTGCTAATTGAGTTGTAAATCTTGAAAGAAAATGGGCGGAAAATCACTCGAGCATTTAAGTTTTGGCAGCCAAGATTTGTTGATTGCTTAAATTTGAGAGAAAATGTAAGTGGATTGCTTTAGCTTTAGCTGCGGTCAAAATAATAGCAGTGCTAAGTACTGAAACATGAATGACTTTTTTCCAGAGATGCTCAACAAACGAAACGGTGGTATTTCGTTTTGTTATTGTAATATTAAGAGTAAACTTAACGAAATGATTTTCTTTCGTTTGAATTTTACTGAAACGAAATGGAATTTTTAATGTTGAAACCGCACAAAACTCAAAGTTAATGTTAAAATGTCTGCTTGTTATGCTATTAACAGCACAATTCGATTTTAACATTTAACATTTTCTGTTATACTCCGTGTTTTACATTTAACATTTTCTGTTAAACTTTAATTTTAACGATTTAACATTAAGGACAGCATTTCGTTTCGGGTAAAAACGAAAAACCAATTATTTTGATAACTGCTTTTACGTTAATATGTTCAAATGTTTCAACCGAAACGATAGAAATTTTTTGATTAATCTAAAATTTATCGATACTATGCTGGTTTGCTATTAAAAGAAGGTCAAGGGAAAGTAATTTGTATGGTAAGAGAGCACCGGAAGTGTCGCTAAAGAAAAGTGTTACATTATTTTACAGATTGAACGTCGCTCAAGAACATTTTGGTTGATGTTTGCATATTACGGTGTTTACCCCATATACTGCTTACTAGAGTCAAAAATATGCCTTATGGAAGAGAGAAGATGCCAAGAAGATGTGTCTACCAAAATCTAAGTTAGAGGTCTCGAATGGCCAGCACAATCTGCGGGCCTCAGCCATATGGAGAACTTGTGGCGAAAGATAAAATAAGTTAACTGGCATGCAAAATCGGTTGTGGAGCGAGCATGGTATGTCATACCAGTTGGAAAATGACCAAATATGATTGATCCAATGCAATGTAGTTGTTGTTTTGGCCGCAAAAATATACCCCAAGGTAGTTTTTTGGAGAATGTTGCGGTAGTGATAGTACTTGGCCGGTTAAAAATTGGATAGTTTCGGTATAAAGCTCTTGTTTTTTTCGATTTTTAGGATAAGCATGGTTTACCGCGAGAATATTGTTGAACACCTTCTCCGCGAGGACCATGCAATAACTTCATGAAACAAGCTGTTTCACCAAGCTCGGGAGAGGAAAAGGAGGGGTTAGATGCCGTGCGGAGACTCGTTGCATGTAGGACATACGTTAGGTATGTCGGGGTCCGATATTACACGGGACTTTCAAGGCAGCTAGAGCTCTTCGTCTGGTATGGGTGGTGGTTTGACTCCGAGAACGTAAATGGCACAAGGAGAGAGTAATGCCTTTTTGTACGCCGTCTTGGCCAGCGGTTGTTGTACATCTTGCTGAACACAGTGTTTTAAGTCGAGTACTCCCTTTCTGATGAGCCCGGGTGGAGATACGGCTTCCAAAAAATGGGGTGCTTCCTACGGTAGCATCGCAGCAGAAATTGCTTTCACAACAAACCACTAAGCTGCTTATATCGTAGCATAGATGCTTTGCTGCGTAAGTGTTGCTCTTAGTTTTCCTGGCACTTTCCTGTGGGCAGTGCTTCGGCTGGAACTTCGTCAACTGCGTTTCGTTCGTCGCCGGTGGCCAGATCGGTGAAGAATGACCGCTGTAGTGACGTTGTAGCGGCTCCGGAGTTTTGTGGCTATTGCGGTCGTATGCGGAGTGCAGGCTGTCGAATGTGACTCCCAATAACTTTGGGTTGCTTATAGTCGGAATTTTTACGCCGTTCATTTTCATATCAAGTTCGAGCCTGTACTCCTTTGTCCAGCTGGTAAAGCCGCCAGCCCTTGGCCGGATTAACTACGGTGCGGAGAAAGCGACTGTCGTGAACCCCTGCGGATTAGGGGCTAAAAATTTTACCCGTAGACGTAAGGGTTGACCAAAATTCAGTAGTTCCCGCGACAGTCTGGTATATTCTATGTATGTACATATGTTTGCAGCCACAATTTTGTCACCTTTAATAAAACTGTAATTTCCCTGCTTCCTTCACATTAAAAATTGTCAACAACTTACGATATTTGATAGATTCAAATTCGATGAAAATCTTATCTTCCCCTCTCTGTTGTATTAAAACCTAAATCTGCTATCGCACCAAGTCGGCAATTAAAATATGCTTCAATCATATATCAAAATAAATACATTTTCAATTCTTCCTCTTTGCAATTTATTAAGTTATTTTAAAATTATTTTCTTGAAATAATTCTAAATCTTTTCACATCCAGCATTGCCTTCCGCTTATAGCCGTTGTAGCTAATGCAGAAGATGATGGTGGTGATGATGACCCAAGACAATGGGATGTGATACGACAACCGGATGCGATACAACCACAGGATGAGCTACCACAACCGGATGTATAACTTTCGGCTTGACAACAACCACAGGATGCTCCACAAGGACTACGTGGTGGCCATGATGATGATGTAAAATACCTGGGGCTGCATATACGCAATGCCAGGTGGTTGCCATGTAAACGACAATTGAAATAATAAAAAATATTTTAAGAAAATACATCTTATATCCGTTAATGGAAGATTTGCGCATCTCAAACCGACAAATTCGACTGAATGGATTTAAGCATGCAGGTGTATTTTATAGTTGGAAGAGTTTTACAAGCCAAAAGATTAAGTATTTATTTAATTATTATATTAGCATTGACTACATATAAAGGTATTATCTCTGGAGGAGTGAAATCTAACCGCATAAGCACGCTTGTGTGCAGATTTTGTACGTACGCTTTACATGCTCACGTTCAATTGTCTTTGCGACATTCCAATGGTATTGTAATAACAATAAGTATATATTTTAATTAATAAATATAAATGTTTATTTATTAGAAATATTTATATTCATAGCCCATACATATACAAAAAACTATGTACCTATTTATACTTTACATACTAGAATATTTGTGTACTCTTAAATTTCTAAAAATTACACAAATTTGGTAAACTATTTAATTCCCAAATAGGCAGTTGAACTTCAGCAGGCTGTTACGAGCTCGCCTACAACTTGAACTGTGGTGGATTTTTTTAAATTTTTTCCAAATTTCTTTTCAAACTTTTTCACTTGCTTTTCCGTCAAATCTTCAGAGCCTATTTTAGCTGTGTATTTCTTCAAAACACGTTTCTTCAATTTCTCTAACGTAATGCCTTCGACATTCTTTTTCACAATCTTTTCCAGTATCGCAGCCCATTCGAAATCATCAGTAGTTTCCGCATTTGATTCTATTGTAGTATCATGCGTCTCCATCTCCACTGCTTCGACTTCCTGCTTTTCTTTTTTCGATTTCTTTTTCCCAGATTCACTATCTCCATTTGTTTCGGCAAGTACAGCAGATTCCACATTAGCCGCTTTTTGTTTCTTTGATTTTTTATTTTTCGGTTCTTCACTGTCATCAGTTACGTTCACAAGCTCTACATGCTTTTCATTTTCCTCTGATTTATTCTTTTTGGATTTTTTCTTAGCAGGTTCTTCATTTTCATTGTCTTCGGTGGCCTCACGTTTTACACCGTTTTGCTTGGAATTGATTTCTGCTTTAGCAGCATTTGCCGCCGCGTTTTCTTCTTGTTTCGCCAACTTCATTTTTTCCTGCTCCTTTTCCAGTACATTCCACACTTCCTCCGCTAAACGCATTGGCATATGCATACAGTTTTTAACAAAATTTTGAAATTTCGCCTTTTTCCGTGGTACATTGTCAACACTCTGCAAACGTTGGAATGCACTGCGTGCCTGTTCACTCAGTTTGTAATCGCTGGAGTCAAGTATAGCACGTATGATATCCATCCAGCTTTCTTGCTTTTTGGCACCACTATTTTTCGCCTCTTTGTGCACATAATCCTTACCGGAATATTTTTGTAATTCTGAAATGCATTTGGTGTGCGCCACATATTCTTTTTCATAGAAATCTTTGAGACAATCCATGCACGATACATTTACTGTAGCACCACGGCATTTTGTATTGTAATGCTTTTCGACAGCAGGCTTTTTTACTGATTCGCCACAATGGTTACAGGTGAAGAAAACCATTATTAAATAGTTTTAAGTCTTTTAATTATAATTGAAGACCGGCGCAAAAATTACAAAGCCAAAGGAATCTAAACAAATCACACGTGCTGCGATAAAAAGGCTACCAGATTTTTATACAAAAACAGCTGTTCGCTTCTGAAAAGGTGCTAAGCTCGAAAACTGTCGATTACAGTTTAAGAGCCAATGTGTTTTTTGTGGTTAGCATTAACCCTTTTGTAATGCAAAAGATGGTAAAATTTCTTTGGTACGAAGTTATGTTGCATATCATATAATTAATTGGTTTTATTTGTAACAAAAACAAAAAAAAAAAACCTGAAATTGAAGAAATTTGAGATGAAAAAAGTAAATCTAACTACAACTTGATTAGCTCGGTATGGTAGTTTTGATAAGTGGGAAAAGTTCCGTTACCATTTGTGTTTGTTTTGTTTGAAAATTTATATAAACTATCAAAGTTACTTGTGGAATAAATGTTTTAAAAACTGTTTATTGTAAAAAAGAAAAAAAAAATATTATACGGATTTATTCAGGCAAAATAAAAATAAAGGTATGCACGTTTATACATATATCGCATTGTCTTTCAATATATTTCCATGGAATTCTCAAATAATTTCGCTAAATCCTCATGACTTTGCTCGCGAGGCGCTAGTTTCGTTATGCGTTCCTGCGGCAAAGTGCCTTCCACTAATGCTGGAATGTCACCACTATTGAAACCAAGAGCCTTAAGCCCATTTTCAATACCAGCTCGTTGCATAAATGTACGAACAGTGTCTGCTAAAATACGCCCGGCATCTGACAACTTGGAATTACTGGTGTCAGCACCTAGTATTTTCGCAGCCTCCAAATGACGTTCTGGACAGGCAGCCGCGGTAAACTGGAAAACAGCAGGAGCACTCATAACAACCGAGAGACCATGTGGTACAATAGCATGTGTATCCGCGTAACCCGCTGGACGATATTGGCGCACATTACCCGAAATAGGGTAGGACAAGCCATGACATAGATGTACGCCAGCATTTCCAAAACCCACACCAGCCATGGTGGAGGCCAAATGCATACGTGAGCGTGCTTCCAAGTTATCAGGCTCGTAGATGGCATTTATGAAATTCTCACGTATAATTTGTAGTGCATAGCGGGCCCAAACATCTGAAATGGGATTACGCCCTTGATATGGTGGTCGTAAGCTGGGGTCAGCCGGTGCTGGACCGCGTTCACGATAATCTACGGCGGTAAAACTTTCAAGTGCATGGCAAAAAACGTCAAAGCCACAAAATGCCGTCACACGCTCAGGCTGTGTGAGTGTATGTAGAGGATCAATGATAGCTGGAGTAAAAGAATACCACAATTAATATGAAAAATGTTTTTAAAAACAATTTATAATATACATACAAAATAATTCATGTTCATACCTAATTTTGGCTTTGAAAATTTACTGGAAATACCCGTTTTGGCATGCAGTTTTTTGTAATCAAAAATTGCCACACCGGTAGTCTCTGAACCGGTGCCCGACGTGGTTGGCAGTGCGATCAACGGTTTCAAATCAACATTAATCTGTAAACAAATTGAAAAAAAAAAAATTATTTCCTTTTTTTTTTGGAAAATATCAATTTTAAAATAAAATAATTACCTCTTTGCCACTTCCAATTGGTTTATTAACGTAATCAAGAAATTCCGCTTCTTTATCACATGAAAACAAATTCGCCACTTTGCATGTGTCAATAACAGAGCCACCACCTATAGCAACAAAAGCATCAAATTGTTTTCCCCTTGCAAAGGTCACAGCAGCCCATAAACTTTCATCAGTCGGTTCAACGCGTGTCTTATCATAGACTTCATACTGTATGCCATGACGGCTGAGCGAATCAAGTGCTGTACGAACACTCGGTAATTTTGCAACATTAATATCAGTAATCAAACAAATAGACTTTGCACCCCAATTGCGTAGATTGGCACCAAGTTCTGCAGAGACGCCTGGTCCGAAACGCACCGTTGACGATGACATCTGCAAGTGCAAGTTGCCTTGCTAAATAGTAGAAGGATGCTTCAAAATACACAGGTCTTACCTCAAAAGCATATTCCTTCTTACCCGCCTGGCTAGCCAAAGTGCCGGAACTATATCCATGTGAGTGTGCGGGACAGCTACAGCTGAAGATTTATTAATTCTTTGATAATAATATCCGTCTTAGCTAAAAATATATGGACACAACTTACGATTTGCTTACTATGGCTTGCATTAGATTAATTGCACTTTTTCGCGACATTTTCTCTCGGCGTAATTAAATAAGACTTGTTGTTTACTAAATAGTTTACGATCAGCTGGCCAATGCTACTGATAAGCTGCGCTGTTAGTTGATATCTGAAAGTGGCGAGGCTCTGCTGGCACTCACCCACCAATAAACGAGCAGAATTGAGTACAAAATTTATTTAACTAATTGATGTTGGTTGGGGTCTCGCTACACGCAATGCCTTATTTGTTTAAATTACCTACATACATATGTATTTTGGAACACAGAGAAGCAGAGGAGAGTTCTCTAATGTTTGATTAATTTAATTTTTAGCACATTTGCAATATGGAATATAAAGAAAATGAGATTCTCAGCACTTCTGATGAGTATATTTATGAAGTGGATTTCGCCGGTGATTTGTATGATTTTGAGTGTTTATGGACGGAATATGGCGCCGAGGTGCAGCGTCACAATGAAACAATGGAACTGGAGCAAAGGTTTGCTAAACAATTGACAATAACGGTGCGAAGAGATGATTCTTTTGCCGGTCTCTCAACCAAAGAGATATGAGCAGAATTTGCAGGACAAAGCTAGCTTTTTAAATTATTATATAGTATATGTACATATGTATATTTATTATCACTTATATTTTCTTATTTCAAATGTACAATAATGTTGGTTTTAAATCCTTCTCATATTTGTCACAGACGAATGTATTCCAAATAATCCAAAATTATTTTTATGTTAAACAAATTATACACTTTTATAGTTAAAACCGACGTTATTCAGTTAAATTTGCCTATATATGTATGTATGCATGCATGCATATGTGTACATTTTATATTGTTGTAAATAGTGTCTTTGCTCTATGAGGACAAAATTTAGATATTCCAAGTGCTTAAGTATTTACCGTTACATAAAGTAATGCGTGTATATATAATGCTTTATAATAGTCCTTGGCCAATTTAAAAAAAAAAAAATATTTTTAAAATTTTTTTATTTATATAATATGTAGATATTAGTACTTTATGAAACCTAAATTAAATATTTTGTTAATTTTTATTAATGTTAAAATTTTTTATCTAAATTTTGTTAATTTTTTTTTTAATTTTCAAAATATTCTTATATTCGATTTTTTTCATATTTATATTATATATTATTTTTGTTGCTTTATAGGTCATTTTGATGGTTTTTGGCGACCTTTTTATATTCTAAGTTTTATGTTTTAGCTGAAAAGTCAACTCGCCTTTGTTATTAACAAATTAGATAGAAAATTTAAGCATTTGTAATTTCCAATGGTTTTTTGACTACAAAACTTAAATACAATTTTTATTTATTTTTTATCGAATCTACATTTAAACGAACAAATTATGTTTATTATTTATAATTTACTTTTATGATTTATAATTAACTTAAAATTTGTATATATTACTTTTTTATTATTGCTGTTTATTTTTACTCTTATAAATAATTTAAATATTGAGAAACCATTTCTCTGTTAGCATATTTCATGTGATAATTTTTTTGTTACTCGATTGAAGGATTGTTATATCTAAAATTAATGCTTTAAATGCTTAAAAAAAATTTTCGTGAGGTCAGCATGTTGTTATTTGGACAGTTGCAACGAGGAATTGTCTCTAGAAAATTGTTAGGTATATTTTTAAATTGGTTATAAAAACACTCTCAAAATGCTAACAGCGATGTTGTTCTCAAAACCATGTTTTATTCGAATATGGATTTATGTCTCAAGCGTTCGATTGTATATTTGTTGTACATGAATGTTTGTATTTTATAACATATTTCGACTTTATTTTCATTTACAATAAAATTGTTCAATTTTGGAATTCATTGTTACCCAATATATGTACACACATATTCTTTTAATAAATATATTATTCCTATGATATTGATTTGTTTTTTTCTTTTTAAACTTTTTTTTTTTGTAATGAAAACGGAATTTAAGATAAGTTGAAGATTTAAATTTTTTTTAAATTTTGTGTGCATAAGTTAATTTATTTCATAAAAGTATAATGACGTTTCGAACCGACTTCAAGAAAAAAAAAATATAATAAACATTTTGAACGTAAACGCTGTTTAAGAACACAAGGTTACGACAAGCGTTGACGTCACCGAACCAACTTCGTCATAAACAGTCTTGGCCAAAAGTATTAGGCACCCCACTAATTACTGAATTTTTCGTTTTAACTAGCGAAGAAATGAAGCTTTATTGGTAATACAGTGAAAATACAATGAAGTAGTGATAATAACATTAATATTTAGTGGGCCCACCTTTCGATTCAATAACTGCAGCAATTCTCTTAGGCATGCTGCATACAAGTTTTGCACATTCGTCGGCACTTATAGCGTACCACGCGTTAATTAAGGCATTCTTTAAGACAGTTTTTGATGTAATACTAATAATATACTATTAATCTTGCGTTTAAAAATAGCTCACATGTGCTCAATGGAACTAAGATCTGGAGACTGTGGAGGTCAATCTAACAAAACAATGTTGTTATTTCTAAACCAACGCATCGTAGTCGATGATTTGTGACAAGGAGCATTGTCTTGCTGAAATTGAGCCCCGTCTAAATTAATAACGCCGAAAATGCGCGTTGACGAAGGCAGAAGAACAGCATCTAATACATTTATGTAATTTTGACTGCCCAGGTGACCCTCGCAAAGGAACATTTCGCCGACAGAATCACCAGCCATGCAGCCCCAGATCATAATGCTGTCTCCCCCATGCTCAACAGTTTGTACCACGAAATCTGGATGATATTCTTTCCCAACCCGTTGCCTCACGAACGTCACACCAGGAGTTCCAAATATCTGTAGAAAAGAAAAATAATGTTTTCATAAGATTTGTATTACGCCTTCAAAATTTCTCTAGGGTAAGAAGCTATGGCTGTTAATACTTTAAGACGATCTTAACTAGGCTTACCTCGAAGTTTGATTCATCAGACCACAGAACATTCGACCAATCTTTTTCCGTGAAATGCTGGTATTGGCGAGCCCATTCCAAACGATTTGTCCTATTCTTTTCTGAGAACAACGGCTTCTTTCGGGCTTTACGTTCTTTAAAACCTTCTTCCAGTACTCTTCTTCTAGCTGTTTGAGCACTAACTGGCTTACTAAATTCATCCGAAAGGGCAGCTGCAAGGGCGAAAGAAGATTTTTTGTGAAAGAAGATAAAAAGACTCGCGTATAAGTATTCGGTCTTCTCGTTTACTGGTTAGACGTTTTCTTCCACTTTTTGATTTATTTCTGTGGGATTTCGTCTCCTACGCCTGATAGCACATTGGACCGCGTACCGCGAACATCTCACCAAATTGGCAATCTCAACCAGAGACTTACCTTCTTTACTTAGAACTTGAATTCTAACGCTATTATCGTAACTAATTTCAGTTTTTTTTAGGCATTTCGATAAATATGAACTATTTTTATAAGATTAGTAACTTTTCACTAAATGTAATTTACACTTTCACTTTCAAATTTTAAATGCGAAAATATTTTATGAATTTCTTAAAAATAACAATTTTTAGGTTTAGCTTACCCAGAGTGCTATGACTTTTAATATTACACAAGGTATTCGTTAAATCAACAGTTAAACACCCATGTAAGACATTTACAAAAAGAAGTGGTATCTTTGATAGACTTTGAGAATACTTGTATTTTAGTGGGGTGCCTAATACTTTTGGCCAAGGCTGTATACAGTGTGCAGTAATTGATATTATATAATAAAAAAAAAAAAATTTTTTTTCGAAAATGATTATGTATGTAAATATGGGAAAAATTTCTTATACAGAAGAAAATAAAAATTAGCAGAAAACAAGCTACTAGGCAGGGTATCGAATAATTCAAGGTCGAGGTAGTCGAATAAAACCAAATGTTTACACAAATTGAATACGTAAGTACCGTTTTTGTTTCTTTGCAAATCAATAATCAATCATTTTTTACAAAAATATGAATATAAATCACTCACACAATTTTTTTTTTTTTCAAAATTTGTTTCAAATTTTTTAAAAAAATGTTTTCCGAATTTTTGTGCACAATATCCCACTGTACACTTTTTCACCGTTTTTTTTTTAAACGATTTTTTCACAAGATAGGTATCATCCATTTCCCGAAAGCTCTTTAGCAGACAAAGAAAATGTGGGAAAACCGGTGATCAGTTTTAACGTTTTTGACATTATTTTCACATGTCATTCGTATTACATGATAGCTGAAATTAGAGTTGCTAGCTATAGAAATTTTTTATAAAAAATAATATTAATTTTTATAATTAAATTTTTTTTAAAAACTAAATATATTTTTTCCACATAAAACTATTCAGAACGTTCTAATTGTGATTATTATTAATTTAAAAAAATTGTAACAAATTTGGAACTTTGCAGTCAAAATATTAAGTTGTTTCATTATAGATGACTATCAAATTTTTTTTTAAATCTTCGACAACCCACAAAATTGAACCAACTTCGTCACTAAACATATGATTTAGCTCTGGTCGTAACCTTGTATTCTATAAACCTTGTATTGAGTTCTAAAAGGAGTTTCCATGGAGATTCATAAAATCTCGATTACAAAAAAAGATTTGTTTAATGGATATCTGATAGCTCATCGGAATTTTTTAGGCAATGTCTTATTTGATTTTCGGAAAATCAGTGAGATATTTTTTCTTAAAAAATTGAAAAAAAAAGAAACAAATCAGACTTTTCGTTTTACAAAGCGGTTTAGAAGTTACAGTGGCCACCAAATTTTTGTTTAAAAAAATGTAAAAAAAAGTTCTGAAAAGGCCTTAAGCATAAGTTTTGTACTCCCGACCATTTCTCTATCTAATTTTTTTTAAATTTTCAATACTTATACAACATAACACATTTTTGGGATCCAAACGACAATTTTTTCAAATACCTCCATCGCATGCCCACTTCCCGGAAGAAAAAATATTTCCCATGGTATTTCAGGCCCAAATCTACATCGGACGATTAGAGAATAAATTCGAGTTTTTTCATTTGAATTGGTCCCAGGCACACTCCCAGGCACACTTTCCGGAAAATCCAATTGGATCTCTACGTTATACGTTTCAGGGCCCTCTCGCTGTTAATTAATTCCTATTGCATTATTTTTCTGTCTCTCGGTATGATAGAGCGGCTTGTTCTAACCACCAGAGCCAGAGGAATAGGGTGAATTGATTTTAGTTGGACATGCAAAGAGTTTGCTGGTGTCGTGCGTGGCTCATTGCATTGGAAGAAGTTGAATTTTCTACACTATCCTGATCTTAATTATAACAGTGACTGATGCTAGTGTGAATGGTGCTTAGGGTCTGTCTATATAATAAACGGCTTTGTTTTGTGGTGCTGAATGGAGTCTGTTGGGTCGATTGTTCCCCCTCAGGTGTACATAGGCACAGGTTATGCTTCCAGTTGAGGTCTGCAAGGATTGTAGGGATGCTTAAAACAGCATAAAATTATTATGATTCTTAACTGGAAGCTGCTGTCCCAACCGATGTTGTCTATGCCTGCACATCTTACTGCACACCCGGTTATTAAGGCCAATAATATCAATACCACACTGTCTGAAATTGCGTTTGGTATCGAACGGTTCGGAGAGGTTCTTTCCGATACTGTTGGAGCTTATATTGTTGCCTAACGTCAGTTTAGAAGGCGTATAGTCATAGCGACGTAAAGGCAGCTGCCATTCGTACTGTCGCAGGCTGTTTTCAAATCGACGAAGAGTTGGTGTTTGTCGATCCGATTTTCACGGGTCTTTTCCAAGATTTGGTGCATGGTGAATATCCTTATCCCGCGGAAATCAGCGAAGATTGTGGAATCGCTATTTTTGTGGATTGCGCAGAACACACTTCGGTTCCAATCGTCGGGGATGCTTTCCTCCGGCCATATTCTGCATAGAAGCTGATGCATGCACTTTGTCAGAACTTTGCCGTCATGTTGGAATAGCTCTGCTCAAACCTCGACATAGTCGGGTAGTGAAACGTCTTTTCTATCGTCATCGATTGGGGTTTCGGGTTCACCATGTTTCATTTTCACTGCCATTCAACATGCTGACGAAGTGTTTTCTCTATAAATTCGGGATACTCTAGGCATTGGTTACTAGCTCACTCCTAAGGGTCAACTCCGGTCTTTTTTATTAGAATTTTTGAGCATTACCTTTGTCGGTTTTCTGAAGCTCTTCATACTCATGCATTTAGGCCTGCTTCTTTTTTTGTTTAAAGTGGCTCGCGGATTTCTTTGGGTCCGACGAGGTGCGATTAGCGAATGAAATTAATACCTGGTCATCGCATTTGATATTGTCAAAATTTTGAAAAGAGCCCAAATTTGGTGGCACTTCGTGAGACCTTAAGTGTTCCTTTCACTTGCTCCGCTTATGTTGGTTTACCAATTGTCGAATTCGCAAATTAAAATAGCTGATTAGGCGATCTTCAGCATCGATTTGGCATTCCTTGGTATCACTTACCTCAAGAAAAGAAGCGCTCTCATGTAAATAAAACACTAGTTTTTATTGTTTTTGCTTTTCTCGAAAATCAATATTTTTTATTAATAAAATCTTCTTCTTAAAAGGACTTACATAAACCTTTTATTGATTTGATCGATTTTTAAAACAACACAAATGTGAATATCAATTTCGAGAAAAGTTTTATGTAAATTTTGTTTTATAAGTTTAAATTTATTTATATGAAAATGTAAGTTTGTATAATTTAAGCCAATTAAATTTACGCCGAATTTATTTGAAAAAAATAAACCAAAAAATAAAAGAACAGAAATAATTTAAACTTCAACTTTCGGATAGAATTGTTGATACCTTTTAGCAAAGGTAGTTAGCAAAGTACTTGATTGCATAATATATATATATATACATTTGTAAATGAAGTATATATGTATGTATATGTACATAAACTAATTAAGAAGGAGAAGAAAAAATAAAATAAAAAAATATTGTGTAGAAGAATTTTGTTGAATGTAAATGTTTGCTCTACTCTTTTTTCGCTCATTAGCTTGGTTTAGTTGGTACAAAAAAAAAATGGTGTAAGAGTATGTTTGTATATATATAAAAGATTTCACTTAAAAATATATTACAGAAAACATTTATCGTATTTATTTATAGTTAATATGTTGGTATGTATGTATATAAATTATATATAAATTGTGTGTATATAGTAAAAGTTACATTTACTCATTCACCAAAATGCAGATTAGTTTTTGTCTTTATATTTTTTTTACTTCACTTCTCTTAAAGCGTCAGCTCTGCTTGTTCTTTTTTTCTTTGATTTCAAAGCATTTTTTTAAGGATTTTATTTGTTTGATTTAATTTTGAAAAAAAGTTCAATTAGGAAATTCCAAAAACGCTCCAACGATGGCACAAGGTGTAGTCATTTTTATTTATTTTTAAATTTTCAAATTTTGTGTTTCAATGCTTGGGGAAAATGTTTGGCGTTTCCATTTTTTGTTACTTTTTGTAGTTATTTATTTCATTTTTTTTTTTAGAAATACATACAGCTGTCGCGTTATAGCCCGTTCTTATCATCCTTTGTTCACCTTTTCGCTGTTAGTTCAACGTGTTTTCACTTATTAGTCATGCTTGGGAACCCAGAAGAAGTTAGTGCGTAGTTAATTATTTCGCTTTATTTTAATTCTCGTAATTAAGTTTAATTAAGTACTATTCTTTAGCAAAGTAAAGTATTTTAATTTAAGTTTAATTCGGTATTAATACTTTATTTGTTTTTATTTTTCTCGTTTACTGTGTACGCATGTAAGCTTTTATGTTTTATATGTATATATATATATGTGTGTGTATGTGTGAATATGTGTGCCTTTCTGTTTTACTTGTATTTTGCATTTTACTATTTTTCATGTATTTATTTATTTTTCTTTTTTAATGTATTTAATATATTTTTGCTTAAAATTAAAACATTTTAATAACAAGTGGTTGTTGTGTTTGAGTTCTTTTCTCCAACTCCCATACCCGCTGCTGTCACACTCATTCAAACATTACTCACACCACCCACAACTATATACATACGAGTATGTAGTTGTGTATATGTATATGCCATTGGCCTCTGGTGTAGTGTGGCTTAGACCTGATTGATCGGTGCATAACGATGCACTTTCGGTACCTTCGGCTCCTTCACTTTCGGTTTGATTTCCTCCGAGAGCTTTTGATAGACAATCGAATTGTTTGAGGAGGCCAAGAGCGCCATACGATAGCGTTCACCACGCTTGTGCATTACAACCGCGACAATCTTGATAATACCCACTACGATGATAACCAGACAAGAGAAGAGCAAAAGCATGGCACAAATGAATTTGTAGCCTTCATAGTAGATACGGCCGCGCTCGATAATGATTTCCTCTTCGTCGTTGTTCTCGCTAGAGTCGTCACCGCTCATCAAGAATTTGTCTACAAGAAAATAATTATCATTTCCATTATGAATGAATATTGTACAATTGTTTTTATGGAATTATATACTCGTATATATAAAAATTTTATAGGTACTCACTCAATAGGAATTGATCCTTGGTCTCCTTGTTTAGATTCACTTCTTCCACATGCACGCCAAAGTCATGTAATTTCAAGATGTCAATTTTCTTTTCACTCTCCGCCTTGTCGTTACTCTTTTTGTCGCCATTCTCACCGTCATCCTCGTCATCTTCATCGTCCTCATCGTCCTCATCCTCATCATATTCGCTATCATTTTCATCCTCATCTGCTTCTTCATCATCTTTGTCCTCCTCTGCTGTATTCTCATCCTCTTCGGCGCTCTCTTCATCCAAAGTGCCGGCATCACTCTTTTCGGTGTCCTTCAGTATTTTATGTTTGTATGTTTTAGTATTTTCCACAATCTTCCATAAGCTCTGTGCATCATGATCTAAAACCTTGTCTGCTTGCTCAATACGTTTCTCCAAACTCTTCTGTTTACTCTTGCTTATTGTGCCCTCTTGATGGCGACACACTTCATGCGCCAAGGCAGCCCAATCGGCGTTCATTTGCACTTCAACGGAGCTCTCATCGTCCTTAAGTTCGGCATGTGATGGCAATTTGTTCGGTCCCAAATGGGGTGTGAGCGAGACGTAGCTGATGAAGTCTTGGAAGTCTTCGTTGCACTTGAGCGGGTTGTGTGAAATGTCCACGGTGCGCAAGTTTTTGAAGCTGCGCACATCACCGGAAGATATGCGTTTGATTTGATTTGCGGAGGCGTTGAAGCTGCGCAGTGTATCGTAGAATTTATATTTACGACCCATGCCATATTGATTCTCAGAGAGTAACGAGGAGAGCTCACAATCGCTGACATCCAGTTCTTGTAGCTTAGCGAGTGGCATGAAGAGACGTACCGACAATTTACGTATTGGATTGCCGGCCAAATTCAATTTTGTCAACTCATTGTTGTTCATGAAGAGTAGCTCGTCCATGCGTGCAATCAGATTATTGCTCAAATCCAATTCGGTCAACTTATTTAGACTAGTGAAGGTGTCACGTTCCAAATTGTTAATATTGTTCCAGGCAAGCTTCAGTGTGGCCAAGTGCGGCATTGTGGAGAAGGTCTTGTGTCCAAGTGCGCCAATAGCGCAATTTGAAATGTCCAAGAAGTAGACGGTGAAGAAACCATTGCAACTGTGGAAACCATCGGTGGGCAATTGGCTAAGACGTGGATTGTCATTCAAACGTATGACATCCAATTCGGAGTTCTTGTAGAAAATCATGCTCGGGATCTGATCCAAGTCATTGATGGACAAGTCAATGTGACGCAAGCGTTTCAGTGCCAAGAACGAGTCAGTTTGGATTGTCATAATGCCATTACCCTTAAGATTCAAATTAGTCAGTCCAGTCATGCGGTCGAACATGCCATGATGCACGTGCTTGATATTGTTGAAGCTCAAATCCAACTGCTGTAGGTCATCGGTGCCAAAGTGCAAGTCGCCAGTAATGGAGTTGTATTTCAGATGCAGAATAGCGAGCGTGGTGCGGTTGAAGACTTTGGCAGGTAACGTTTTCAAAGCGTTATAAGACAAATCCAACTCTTCGATGGTTTCGGCGTCATCGAATACATGCTCCGGTATCTTCTGTAAGTTATTTTGTGACAAATTAATATACACGACATTGGAGAGTTTGGAGAAGGCCTGTGGATGCAGCTCCATTAAATTGTTACGTGACAAATCCAGCTCCTCAATACTTGAGGACTGCAAAAATCAAAAGAAAAAATTACAAAAATTTACAACAAATCCCATTACGACATTTTTCGTTTACTCACATTCAATAGGAAATGTACATTGGACATAACGCTCAAATCATTGCCGGAGATGGTCAACAAACGCAATTTCTTATTGCGCGAGAAGGTATTTGGATTGATGACTGCCAAGCCGACATTTGTCAAATTCACCGAGTACAATTCGTCCAAGCCATGGAAGGCATCCTGATGCAGGAATTCGATGGTGCAATTTGAGATTTTGATTGAAGAAACATATTTCAAACCCATTTGTAGGAAGAATTCCGGTCCCAACAATATCGGATATTTCGGCCCAACATCGGTCACAATCAAATCGGTGATATCCGAACCGAATTTCTGTGTTTCGGGATCGAAACGGCTGCAGGTTGCCACTAAATAACTGTTCACATTACGTGCACAGACACAATATCTGGGACAGGGCACATTCTGATTGAAAACGACCTCCTCTTCATCATCTTCATCCGCTTCATCGTCATCATCATCGTAGTCATCTTCATCTAAATCTTCAATTTTATTTGTGTTTTGCTGTTGTTGGTTCGTGTCAGCGTTTGGCTTGGAAGGTAGCTTCAAAGAGCGGGGGAGGTAAAGAGGTATAGATGAGTTAAATAAAAAAGAAAGTTCAATACGCTACAAAATCCATTTCAACTCACCAGTTTTTCTTCCTTAATCGGTTTCATTTCCACCTTTTTGCTATTTTTCGCTGTGGCACTGCCACCGATGTTCTTCGGTTTGGCAGTACTGCTGCTCTTTGTCTTTTGCGATGACTCCGTTGCAGCAATTTCATCATCATAATTATAATCATCATCATAGTCATCGCTATCATAATTATAATCATACTCTTCACTCTTATTGCTCGTGGTGGTGGAATTCTCCGACTTCAATTTAGTTGGCAACATCTTATTGAATCTACAGCGCCAAGATAATAATAATAAAAGAAGTGCGGTCAAGAGCGTTCAATACGTTTTAATGCAACTCAAAAATAAATACACATACATACATATATGTATGTTGGTATAATATATATTTAACTTGGTTACCTTGGATCATCGGCAAGTGCAATGCTGTGTTTTGAGGCTTCAATCAAATCGTAGAGCGTCTCATCGCTCACCTTTTGTTGTTTAGCTTCTTGATTAAGATTAAGTGCATCATTGTTCAACTCAACTGTATTTGTTGTTGGCTTCTTAGCCTCTTTTGTTGTTTCGGTGGTGCTAGTTGTTGTTGTTGTTGATGTGATAGGCACATCTTTAACTTTTGGAGTGGAAATTCGTATGCCATGCTCCTTCGAATGTGGCCACACCAATGCGTCCTCTTTACCGATATCACCAAGAAGATTATACTTTTCAGCCGTCAAATCGCCCGGACGCAAAGTGCTGGTGAGCGTTTGCTGGAATGCGCCAAATGCGAGGAGCACTAGTAACACCAGTGCATGCTGGTTACCCATTGTGAGAGCTGGAAGGAAACGAAAGAAAATTTGCAATTAATGAAAGAAAAATTGTACTTGTTGTTTAAAAACTAGGTTAGATTTCTAAAAAACACATAAAATAAATTAAAAAAAAAAGATTAAATAATTAACGAATATAAGTCAAAAAGAAATTGGAGCCGTATTCAAAAATTAAATATAAAATAAAATTAATTTAAAATTTGATATATTTAAAAAAAATTTAAAATTTAAATGAACTTCACTTCGCCAGCAATTTCTGAAATTAAAAACTCAATGCAATTAATTTATTTATATATGCACATACATATATATTTGCTAAACACATTTCGTATAAATGTCTATTTAATTATTTGCCCACTAATCGTTGTAAGCTTTATCACTTTTGCATTTTTCTCTCTCTAAAAAAAATGTTTCTCTTCTGTTTGTAGGCGTTTTAGCCTCGTGCAAATTATATATATATATATATATAAATATAAATTTTATATAAGGCATGTACATATATACATATAAATGTTTTCGCTTGTGTTTTTGTCTAATGTTTTTTTAAATTCATAAATAAATCGCTTCACGTAGCTTACTGCTAACTTTTCGAGATGTTTTTTTATATCAAAAGACGTGATATGAACTTCCACTAATTTCGCACTGTTTCGCTCGTTTGTTTGTTTCACTTGAGCAGGATGGATGCTATGCACATACAAAATATTCTATTTATTAGTCTGATTGGCGTTAAAATAACCTGATTGGCATACATAATATATTAAATGCAAATGAAGATTTCTCTATTGTTAACTGGCTAATGTTTTTAAGATTTTTTTTTATAAAAATATTTCATGCTTACATTTATTAAAACATTTAGTACAATTAAAAGTGTATATTTTGTATTATTTTTACATTTTATTTGTTGCTTGTATTTTACTGTTTTGTTTTATTTTATTTTATTTTATTTTATTTTATTTTATTTTATTTTATTTTATTTTATTTTATTTTATTTATTTGTTTTAGTTAATTTAATTAAAATAATTTAATTTGGTTTTACTTTTAATTTTTTCGTTGTTTTATTTTATTTTAGTTAATTTTATTTCATTTTGGTTTCTGTTATTTAGCTTTTGTTTTTTTTTTAATTAAATTTATATAATTTTATTATAGTTTATTTTTATTTTCATTTATTTTATTTAGTTTTACTTTTACTGTTTTAGTTTATTTTACATAGTTCTATTCTATTTTAGTTTTTTATATTAAATTAATTTATTTATTTCATATTATTTTATTTCAATTTGTTGTCTTCTATATTATTTTATTTTTTTATTTTAATTTTAGTTTATGTGTCTTCATATATTTGATATATTTTTATTTGATTTTTATTTTTCTTTTAGCAAGGGAATACTTCGCTTTTAATTATTTCGAAATAAATTATATATATTTATAACGCATTGTTATCCTGCATGTTTTCTGCTCTAATCTCTATTTAATTTCCGTCAGCGTAGCATTTTATCTTGTCTGGCTGTTGTCAAGTTTGCATATTTGGTAATATCCACTTTTAAGTAATTTTATTTCAAGAAAGCGAATTGCAAGCAAATCCACATTATAAATACTTGCAAAATAAAAAAAACAGTTGTTGTTGCTTTTATGTCTTTCCATTATAATTTATTTTCGATAAATTTGTTACTTTAATTAATTTAATGACCTAAGTATTTATGAAACAAAACAGCAGAAACTCTATGTGGTTAAAAAAGAGACATAAAAATGAATTAAAAAGTAGAAAATCATTTGTTGTTTTTAGTACTGCCGCTGCAATTTCGTCGACGTATGGAGCAACGTTATATTTTCTGAAAGGTTCGATTAGCAACTATTTCAGCAAAAAAAAAGAGAAACTCGTCATAAGTGTTCTCAAACATATTTTTTTCCACGTTTCGAAACCCTTTTTTTGGCTTTAAACTCATTTTTAATAATAATATTCTTTCATTAAGCAATTAACATGTGCAAGTTTATAATTCACGCGTCACTTTTAATACATTTATATGTGTATTTGTGCGCACATTATCACAATATTTAGCTGAAGCATAGAAGAGATTAATGAGCTACTTAAAAGTGTGAGAAACACTTAAACTTACATATATATATATATATATATTACGTGTATTTTACATTTATGAATATAATTATACGACTATTTATCTGTTAATAGCCAATTGTTTTTTTTAATAACTTTAAGCACCATGCACTTTTGCATTAAGCATACTTCCATGAGTACATTTATAAATGTGTAATATTGTCTTTTGTATAATTTTCAGTATGTAAATGAATGCATTTCGCACCTACGCAAACCAACGAACGTCGCGACGCTGCATTTAAGGTAAATTGCAACCCATTTTGTAGAAATATTTCTTATTTTTTAAGCAACGACATTGGCTTAGCGCCTTTTCATAACAAGTCTTGAATAACTTGGTTGATTGGCTGACTGTCGGACGGGCGGTCGGTTGGTTGGGCCGACAAAGGTGCTTCTAGACTAAAGTTCAACAATGTTTTTCATACAAATAAATTGCATTTACGCTGACTCTATTGACAAATATCCGTGTATTGCATAAATGACTCGTCTGTATGCAAATTTTTTTATGAACATGAGTGTGTGTGTTTTTTCAACGAGCGGCGCCATAAGTAACTACGCAATTCGAGTTTATATACAAAAGTACTTGTAAATATCCAAAAAAATTAAATTAAAATAAAATAAAATAAAATAAAATAAAATAAAATAAAATAAAATAAAATAAAGTAAAATAAAATAAAATAAAATAAAATAAAACTGGATGCAATAAAATAAAATAAAATAAAATAAAATAAAATAAATTAAAATAAAATAAAATAAAATAAAATAATAAAAAAATTAAAAAAAATTAAAACTGAAAATAAAAAAGTAAGAAAAGAATATAATCAAAATAAATTTATTAATAAACGTTGACTTACTGTTGAGAAGTAATTATTGCTTATTTGATATTTATTGCTGTGCTTATGTGTGTACATATGTAAGTATACAATTGCATGCAAATTTATTTAATTTTTTTATGTATGCATTATTTATGTACATTTGCATGTATATATGTATGTATATTTGCTACCAAATCAATACTAATCGTTAACACAATGTTAATTATATTGCATATTGAATTGAGGTATTAAATATTAAACGGCAGATTGAAATAATTATTTTAATAATTTTCCTATATTTACATATGTTTGTATATTGTATATTGCCGACATATTTAAATGTATTTCATGTATTTAGGTACATACGTAATTTTCGTTTTTTCGTTTCTGAAGTACATTTATATACATCTCGTTAACTACGAAGTACATACTTATCTTTAGGTGTGGGCGCATTGATTTTGAATTTTTTTTATGAAAAAAATATCCCATTTGCACAAATATTGATTTTTATGGTCAACTACACATTTTTAATTCTACGTGATATTTAAGTAAATAATTTTGTAGAATGTCTCTCCAAAAATATGTGCAAGTGATATTGAAATAAATTATTCAAATAGAAACACATCCATCCAAGTGAAGTACACATCAAAAAATGTACTATGTGCGAGTGCACTAGAGTTAAGCTTGCCACGCTTTAAAAAATTTTTCATTTGTCGCGTATTTCACCAATCGCTAACTCACAATTATTATTGACAAAAGTAATATTTATTTTCAATTATTACTACATTACCAAATATTTGGTTTTTTTATGTTTTTTGGTTTTTTTTTTTTAATAATTTTGTTTAATTTGTATTTAATTTGCGTTTTAGATGGTTTCATAAAGTGAGTCAGGAGTCTACCGTTCATTTGGAAGTATAATACTCGTATAATATATGTGTGTGCATTCTTATTGTCGCTTGAATTGTTGCCGAATTCAGTTAGAGCTCTGAATTTTTATGTTAAAATTAATAAACATATCAAACATTCATACATATACAATCATGGCCAAAAGTATTAGGCATCCCACTTCGGCTTGAGTGTTCGCGCTGCGCAATCCAAGCAATTTTGTCAAACTAATACCGGAGATAAATTAAACATTAATATACCGAAAAGTTGTAGAAAAGCACGAATTTTCATCTGCGAGTGCCTTATGGACTGTAAGAAATCGACACAATTAGGGTAAATTGGAAAATATGTACATAAGTTCTCAAAAAGTTAGAGAAGGGATTATGAAAATTAGTTTGGATAAGCTTAAAGCCTGAAAGTAGACGTAGCTTTCGGAGAAAGTTTGCAAAGGGCTTTTAGAATAGATCGGTATTGAACAACAATTTCCCTAGGAAGTTAAATTGAATATTCTTTCCGAAAACCTAATTTCGTGGCAGAGAATGTCAACCCCTCTGAATGTATTTCTGTATTTTGGAAAAACTTAAAAACGCAAAACACAAATTGGGAGATGAACTGTGCAGAAAATATATTAATAAATAATCAATATTTTGTTTTTTACAGGTTAGGACACAGCTCAAACGACAACGCTCACTTTACCGATAGTAAAAACTTTGTAGTTTTAGCGTCGTGAGTTTTGCGCATATTTTTCGCAAGTCTGCAGCCTTTGGCTCGTCCCCAGAGTCTATTAGCGCGACGAATATTAGTTTTTGCATTTGCTTCACTTCTCTGAATTGAACTTGTAGGTCGTAAAGGACACCCCCCTTATTTAGTTCGTCAGCTGTCCCATCACCTTCAATGACCCAGCCACCCAGTAAATGTAAAGTTTTCTTTTTTCAGACAGTGTTTTTATCGCCATTTCACATAGTTTGACCACAGCCGGCTTCGTGTTGTATGAAATTTAGGATTTTATGGCAGTTTGCCTAGCTTTGGTTTGATCTACGTCGAAATTTTTCATTTTCTTTAGTTTATTTTTTTCGAAAAAAAAGTAATCACATGATTTTATGATTAATTTGTTCCAAAAAAATAAAAATAAATAATAAAAAAATACGGTCAGCCAGAGCAAAACAAGAAAAAAAACAAAAACAAGTTTGAGAGTCATGAA